ACGGATGACTACCTCCTCCTGTAACGTCATTGATGATTAGCTGAAGGAGCTTAAATTTTGGAACCTGTTACCTCACCTGGCATTTTTCGATTCCTTCGATGAGCATGCTGTAATAATTCTCCGTCACTGCTTGGGTTGAAGTTCCGCTGCAATCAGATACTAAAATCAACAGCACTGCATTTGTACTACTTACGTTATAGCGTCATGGTGTTGAACGATGGCAAGTGCACGGCCTAAAATGAAGTACAATTCAGCTGGTTCATCGGAAGGTTGTAGATAAAGTCTTACGCAAGGTAGCGACATCTTCCTCGTGCTTCATTTCCCCGTTTGAAGCGAGTTCTATCGCTTGACAGACCTACCATTCAAAACGTCAGATTGCCCTTTTGTTAGCAAGTCTTAATTTCTTCAAATTACTTGTCACAAATTGGCCCACAATTTGCCAAACGTTTTATCTTAAGCGACTTTGAGCGTCTCTAATGTAATGCGTACTACTGCACATAGTTATAGAGTTATAGATTTGTCCAAAATGAAAGAGTGCTAAGTGAAACTACGAAATAGCATTGCAAATTCAGTTACACTAGATGGAATAAGTTCACTATGACCAAACACTCCTAGCAACGTTCCGACGGCATCTTCAGCGCTATATAGGCTAAAATTTTCTTTTCATGTTAATAACTTTCTACCTCCGCCCACCTCTTTGCTGGATTTGGAAAACAAACATGCGGCTGATTCTGTTTTGCTTCTGTTCTTAGATGTAGGTGTGGCACTGATCATCATCTCAGCGCAGTGCCATAACTTTTTAGCGATCACCTGTGTTGCAGAACTCAGCGAGTCTCGCCTCGGTGACTCACGTGCCATAACGAATGTTTTGATTGTAATGTCGGCGAATCCTGACGACCGAGGATGTAAGACTGGAGGGGCCAAACATGATTAGATGAACGTTTTCTAGTCTTCAATAACAATAAAAGTTTGTTTCAAGCTCATACAAGCAGTCGCAAGAAATCTGAGCAAATTTTAAGAACGTCAACGGCTTTTTCTTCTTGCTTGAAGTCTTTCATGCTCTAACAAAGCGAAGTAATACCTGTAAGTTATTTTACTCATTGTTCAACTGGTAGCCGAATCGCCTACTAAAATGAAAGTCGCCTGTCTCAGACATGACATTTGGCAACCTTTGTCGTTTACATTAGACACGTGTTACGCCTCATCATTGTGCATGATAAGTGAAGAAATAAGCTACGTCAATAGGGCAGTAGTTGTATTCCTACCTAAGGTTATGTATTATAATGTTCATTAAACTTAGCGTCTTCCACGAGATAAGGCACCGCTCCGTGGTGCGGAGGAAAAATCGCACCAGAAGTTGCAGCTGTACCCCAAACTCATCGAGGAAGCCTCTGAGCTAGCTCAGCCTCACAGACCAGTAACCTAGAACTCCATTCAACCGGAGCTAATTACAGATGGAATTTCTGTCTTAGACGCCTGGCATCCGTGGACAGTAGCCAAAACATTTGTGAAGATCGATAAAATGTCTTTCAGTCCCCTGCGGACTAAACAGCATGATTGACGGATTACCGAATAACGTCAGCAGTGACAGATTGACACCAAAGGGGCTGCAAACAATCAACTGGAAGACCTTGCCTCAGATGAACCGATGCGCCAAATAAGATATGGAATCACACGAAGGCGCGTGGACATCGAGACCTGGCGATGGTAATGCCCGCAAATTGCGAGGAAGGATCAGTAAATTGAATGTGTTCAAAGCAGCCCTTTGGCGTAGCTTCGATGACAATCGACGGAAGAAGAGTATTCGAATGCTCTGTTCCACTGCCACTCTTTCCACTGAAAAAGGGCATCATCCATTTGACGTTGACTGTTCGGAGCTCGTATCGACAGACATACATTCGATGCAGTGACGCACTGACCTGGCTTGATCGCATTCAGCCTTCGGCGATCGAATTAGAAAGAATCGTAAAGTAAAGATTTAATTTTCTGAAATTGAAAGGTATATCAAAATTTTAAGAATGCGCTTAAAAAAGAGTTACTGCAACACGATGGGATAAATAAGATAGCGGATACAGGCGGTCAGCTGCAAATCATATAGATTCCAACTCAAGTTACAAAACTGATGCTACTGGTTGTGAAATGAACCGCTGCACTATACTACAATCAGCAAATTCTTCGAAGGTGCAGAGCACGTCTGAGATCTAACTAAGATACGCAGCCACGGATATCAGCATCATTAATGCAGTGCGAATGCACTGTTATATTTTCAATGAAAATACACTTGTAAAAGAGCATCTTCTGAAACTC